TCTCCATTAGGTCACACAGATGTATATACCATACATTAAAAATTATAGCTTTGCACCTGGGATCACAGAAAATTAGGACTGCAAATCCTAGACACTATCTATTCTTCAGCAATTATTTGTTTAGCACCTACTGTGCATTTTCATTATTATACCAAGGAGGAAAGAGATTCAGTGATGGAGGGATTTGTTCTCTTCTAGGAACTGACAGAACTTGGGCTTTGCTTCTACTGTTTCCAAAGCACGTGCCAAATCTCCACTGAGTGGTTTCAGGGTCACCCTTTTGTCATCTCTGCTCACAGTCGTGGTAGCCCCTGGAACCTTCTTCACAGTAGTGAGTTTAGCCACTCTTGTTCCCCTTCAATAGCCATCATGGCATAATGAAAGAAATATTAGGTAGGTTGAACATTATGAAACTGCTGCTATTTGATACTCATTTTTTAATCTAACAAAAGGCAGTTTTATGTGGTTCAACCTAAGTCATTCACTGCTCCCACATACAAATGTTCTTTCTGAGATTGAAGCTAATACTATGTATTTTGGTCTCTTTTTCTGTATTTATATATATATATACACACACACACATATTAATTTTGTTTGTAGCTTCTTTCTCTAGGACATGTGACTAGAAAGGGCGAGATTGGGGCCAAAATTTGTATTATCCAAGCCCTGTGTATTGTCTGTGCTGTGTGAGCTCTGCTTGACCATTTAGATTCACTCCAGACGCCTACAGGGAGCTTCCATAGCCTGCATCGACAGGGCTTTCTTGTCCCCTGGATCCCAGCAAGAGGAGAGAAGTTTGTGATCTGTATTACTTGGGCCCTCCTTGTCGGACCCTGGTTTAGAAGTGGCTGTATTCCTCCACCTGTAGCCATAGCTCCTCTGGGTGCCTTTTCCTACCGCCATGCCTTTTGCCTGGTTCTGAAAACTTCTCCTTCCTGGGGTAGGGGTAGTAAGCCCTACCGTTTTGTCAGCCCTGAAAACCTTCATATGCACTTGTCAACAGTACCTTCTTTAACAGTCATTCAGTTGCCATCATTCACTTTCTGCCAGACCCCTGACTTACAGAGTTATGTCCTGGCTACAATTTGAGTTTGTGCGTCTATTGATTTATATGTGGTATAAATATTAATCTGAGGTTATGTGCACACCTTTTATATCTGCAGTCTATGTGCTAAAATTTGTAAATGTTCTCAAATAAGAGGAAAAATTAATATACCCATAAAAATTTTGTACTTCTCAAAAACTAATTGTTAGTTATTAAGTAAGTGCCTTTATCTTCACTAGAAATTTAAAAATAAGAAAATATTGGCTAAATTTAGTTTTTTGGTACGAACATGCAAGACAGTATTAAAGCATTTGTGCAATATGTAGTATGTGTATAATTATATGTTTACTATTACTTTCCTATTAATTATGAGCTATGGGACAAAACATTAAATCAAATACAATATAAAAGTTGGCCACTCATTTTGCTAGTTCAGGTGTTTTCAGGTGTTTGGTCTTTGACTGTTGTATATATAATTATGTGTCACATATAAGGGAAAGGAGAAGTAATCAAAAAATCTTTTAAATTCATCAGAATATCATTTTGTTCTCTAATCACAGGCTGGCTTAACCTTCCTCCTGCACTCTCACTAAAATAGCTCATTTCTAGAACAAGCATTTACTGAGTACTTGTTTGATGCCAGCATAGTGTATAGTGCTCCGTGATGTGGAAACTTCAGAAGGCTTATGGGAATCACTTTCTGGATTCTAAAAGGCTCCTTGACAATGATGTCACAAGCCCATTAATTGTTGATTGGGAAGAACCAAAATGAAAGCCCAGGTCTCCTAATTTTAGTTTAATCATCCTTTTTACAAAGCTGCACCCCAAGAAACATACTGAGCCAACCAGATACTATTGATAAAAGGCAGGAGAAAAACAGTCTGCATGCCTCCCTAACAAATTGTTCTCTATTACTCTAGCTGATCAGCGAGGTTACAGGCTTCAGCACTCTAAAATAAGCTAGGAGTAGTCGATAAATCAACTACAGCACTATTTGCCATGTATTCCACGTCTCACTCTATTATCCATTCAGTCCTCATGCTGTGGAGAAGAAGGAAAGCCTTAAAGATTCATGCTAGGCCCTTCATGTGTGATTACTTTCTAAAATTTTTAACAAGTACCTCTTAATGAATTAGGCTATTTGGAAGATTATCTTGTCATAAGAACACCTTTCCCAATTCCTTCCAAAAACAGAGACCAATTTTAGTACTATTTGTAGGAGATTTCTCTTTTTGAGTGTGTGGGTGGGTTAAGAGAAAGAGAATAGGATTAAAAACATGTGCATCAGCCTGTGGATGGAGCCTTTGATGGATATGCTGGAGGAAAGATACGGTTTCTACAGACAAGCCTTTGACTCTGTTAAATAATAACCTAGGACCCATAAAAGTTATGATAATAATTTATATAAGTCCTATAAAATGCAGTTGCAGCTTTTTAAGTTATTAATGGGTCTATAATCAAATGAAATGAAAATGATTTTAGATGTCAAAGAATAGCTAATAATAGACTTTAAAAAAATTTTTTTAAAGCATAAATAGTAACTTCTAAGCTTGAGTAATATAATGGGAAGTCTAGAATTTATTGATATAGATATAGATATAGATGAATGTTTCAATAAGAGGAGAATTCCTTCAATCAATTTTCATTTCCATTGTTCAACCACAGTTTCAAGGATTGAAATGAAAATCTGACATATTCTTGTCAATTCCTTTATTGGACTCAATTTCATGTAAAAGCTTCCTCCACTTGAACTAGTACAGGGAAAACTGACATAATTGTTTATTCTGTTGACATGCTTTTTGACTACTTTCTTAAAACGGTTGAGATACTATCCTGGCAAAACAATTAATAGGTCTGCCTTCTTCAATGTCAGCTGTGCTTGGCCTCAATTCGATGCTGTGCTTTTTGGCAGCAAGGTAGAAGAGAAACCAGAGTAAATTATGCTGTTCTTATATTATGCAGAAAAAAAAAAGACTACAAATCAGCTCTTCTGGAGAAACAAATTTTTTTCCTAGTAATAAATTCTAAAACGTAGGTCTAGTTGAGGGAAATTTTAATTAAGAACACTTATTTTTCTTACTGCAAATTTAAAATATTATTCAGGGTGTCCATAAAGTTCACGTGCCATTCAAAGTAGTTGCCTATTTCGTGTTCAACTTTTTAAAAATTGTGATTCCCAAGAAAGAAAATTAACTTAATGGTTTTTCATTTGTTGCCTCTAGAAACAAATCCGTTTGACTATTTCCTTTATTATAATGTATTAGAACTTTATTAATAGAGAAGCCTGACACATAAGTTATCATTTTTTGCAGCAGGATCATACTGTGCTAAATAATGAGATATGGGAATACATTGAACAGCTTGACTTCTGCTGACTTTTACTTAAGAGTGTGAAGTGTTTTAAATTAGCCTGTGTTAGTACCGATGAAGTGTGCACCAGGGCGGGCAAATAAAGTAAAAGCTCTGTTGCATTTTGAGATCTAGATAAATTATATAATTAAAAAACAAAGCACTGTGACCTGGGAGTAAGAAAACAACAACTCTCAGACACTATTGGAAAATTAGGTCAACCTTTTCAGAAGGCAATTTGGCAACATTTAACAAATTTACAGTGTATGTACCTTGACCTGACCATTACGTAAACTGGTCAGAACGTGCCCCTGGATAAGCTTGTACAAGTTCACCAAAATACTTGTATAAGAGCGTCGTTGCAGTATTTTTGAAATAGCAAAAGAAAAACATTACAAAACTAATCTAAATATGTAACAATAGGGAATGGTAAGTCAAATGTATATTTATTTAATGTAAGGCCCTAAGCCATTTACAAAGTTTGTATGGAGTAATTCTGAACATGCTGATATCGAAAGGACTCCAGGATGGATCTGGAGGTAAATAAGCCAGACATAGACTATTATAATGTCTTCTTGGATAATTTAAGAAATACGAATACTTACATATATAGGTTTACATACAGACATTGATATTTATATCAATTATGTCGACTTTCATATTTAAGAAGCATATGCATTTGACCCGCTGTTTTAGCCAGATTTCAAAAGTTGATATGTAAGCATTGGTTTGGGGTGGGTAGAGGTCCTAGATGGGGGTAGATTAAAGGATGCTTTTTCTTTTCATTTGATAGCTTTCTGTAAAATTTGATTTTTTTAACTATGTACAAGCAATACTTTAGTGTTTTAAATATATCAATAGGAGTATCAATAGGAGGCTCTTAAGTAAGTCATTATTCTTTACACACTTAAGAAACTCAATAATTAACCTTTTTTCTTCTTTCTTTCTTTCTTTTTCTTTCTTTCTTTCTTTTTTTTTTTTTTTTTTGCAGTTTTTGCAGTTTTTGGCCAGGGCTGGGTTTGAACCCACCACCTCTGGCATATGGGGCTGGCGCCCTACTCCTTTGAGCCATAGGCGCTGCCTAATAATTAACATTGTTGAGAGATAATAGATAATATTATCTAAGATAATATTAAGACACTATTGTTGAGATTCCCAAGAGTGTAAAGCATGACAAACTTTAGCGTGTGAGTATTGTATTATCAGGAAATCAACTCAGGTTTTCTATGTAAGATTCTCATCCCAAACAAAAGTCCACTCCCGCAGCCACCCTTCCTCACTGAGAGTGCATCCCTTACTGTGTGTGGGGTAGATCAGGTTAGGGTAGGACAGCTAGAGACACTACATCTACCTTCCCTTCTGAGCAAGAAAATTTGAAATCAGTTATTACAATTATTTTCTTACCCTGCGGTAAGAGAACGTGCAAGAAAGGCAGAGCCCTCTGTAAACACACGTTCATTTAATGGACCCGATTTTGATTCAGAATGGGAAGAAAAATCATTGCATATTTCCCATGGACCCTTTAACACAGCATGCTCTAGTTTTGGGAGCAATTCCCAAAAGAAACAATAAGAATAACTATTTTCTGCTCTTTGAATCTTTTCAGAATTGCAACTTCCCGTGAGTCCCTCTGTCTGTCTGAAACAGGGAATACAGTTACAGCCGAGTACTTCAAGTCACCTTTTAAAAACAGTGAAGCCACATGTCTGGAAACCAGGGAACCGGAGACGTGAACAGCTGTAAGCTCATAATTTTGAATGGTTATAACCAACATGCATTTTAGGAGACAGCTAATAAGAGAAAAGCACAGAACAGATCAGGGCAGAGGAGCAGGGGTGTTGTTATGTGTTTGAATTATTAGGTTCCATTCCATGAAGTTTTCTCTATCCCTTCTTAATAAAGAAAGCCATCATTGACTTTCTTCTAGATTAATTCAAACCTCACCTTCTATAGAATAAACATTTGGGTAAATTGGACTCTTAATCTAGTCAGTTACATTAATGGAAATTGAATTTAAAATCTTGACAATGTGAAACTATAAAATTTTAACTTCCATTTTATACTCAAATGGCATTGCCTTCACCTATGAGTTGAATGCATTTTTTTTTCCTAGCTATTAAGTTATTTTTTTATGGCTCCTAGGATCTAAGAAAGCACCTGCTGTGTATGAGTTTGTCCAGGTTCCTTCTATGGGAAGGATTGTAGAATATAAATTATAATGAAAAATTAAGAGATTTTTAATTATCTTATCCAAGACACAAATGAGTGTGTCGCCTATAATTGTCTAATTATTAAGTAGTATTTAAGCAGTCAATAGTATTTATTGAAGAATCATGCTAAGCTTGTGCTTCCCTAAACTTCAAAAAGTAAAATTGTCCAGTCATTCATGGATCAAACTTAAATATTTAGCATACAAAAACATGGCACAAAAAGCAAATAGCTGTACATTTTAGTATCATTTCAGATGAAAACATTTTTGTTTCATCCCAAAACATTACTAGTATTAATTTTCCTTGGTATACTAAAATTTTTTTTTTTTTTTTTTGTGAGACAGAGCCTCAAGCTGTCCCCCTGGGTAGAGTGCTATGGCTTCACTGCTCACAGCAACCTCCAACTCCTGGGCTCAAACGAGTCTCCTGTCTCAGCCTCCCAAGTAGCTGAGACCATAGGTGCCCGCCACAACGCCCGGCTATTTTTTGGTTGCAGCCATTATTGTTGTTTGGTGGGCCCGGGTTGGATTTGAACCCGCCACCTTAGGTGTATATGGCTGGCACCTTAGCCCCTTGAGCCACAGGTGCCGAGCCTAAAATGTTTTCTTAATACTTCATCCCTGAGTTGACTCTTAATTATCTGTGACGAGGGACATTAGCAAAGATTGATCTAGTTGGGAAAGTATTTTGGCATATTTTTGGTGACCTGTCCTCTATTAAAAGCCTTAATATGTTTTTGTGGAGAGGAAGAGATACAGCAAAGGTAGATGGGAGCAAAAAAACAGTTTGAGAAACTATTTTGCTGTTTACAAACTGCAATTCTATAATTTTTGATATAACTGCAATGGGACCATGGGTCGTGGGTAATGCAACTAATTAAATTTTTTAAAAAACTTTAAGTCTTATTCTATCATTCTACTTTTTTCTTTTTAAAAATGTTTTTCTTACATCTGCCAGACTAAACTGTTACCAATTTCATCCCCTCTCTCTGCACCTGCACACCCCCTGGTGGTGATCTCTATTATAAAAAGCAGCTGAAATTGTTTAAGGAAACACACGCGGTGAAGGCTGGGGTCCAGCAAAGGATAGTGGGGCGTTACAAGCTTTAAGGTAATTTATAAATGGCATACTCAATGCTAAATTATGGAGCATTAACTATGTTATTTTCTTTTACAGGAATCAAACAACAGTCCTAGCTCTACATGAAACCATCTTTGGAGCTGAAGATCTATCTGTGATTCTTAAAGCGTATGTGCTGGTGACATCCCTAACCCCTTTGCGTGCATTTATTCATTCGACTGGCACGGTTTGGAACCTACCAAAGAAAAAACGTTTCACTGTCAAGGTAAAGACTCCGTTGAAACTGTTATTTCACAGAAAGCACGCTGAATATAAGTAAAGTGAGTTAGGTTGCCGTTCTCTGACCTTTTGTGGTTTTCAAATCTCAATGAACAAACATTGCGTCTTTTTATTGCTGCAAGCAGAAATTTTCATTTAATAGGTGCTGGTTCAAAAAGGAGATGGAAGCTGCGTATATGACTGGGGATCACAAAGGCTACATTTTTTCCCCTCAATTCATCATTGTAGTTCAATTCTTTGACCTATTACAGAGCTAGCTCGTGGTCAGACTATTTATTTTATTTACTTTCCACTTATCCAGGAAGCAAACGAAAATGATGTAATTTTACCCTATGCGTTTCACTTTAACCTTAGAAAACATGATGCCTACTTCATTACCCCAGTCAGTATGGAGTATTCGCTGAGTGGAAAATAAAGCTCTCAAGTGTTCCTAATCTAGCAAGCCGCCAGGTAAAAGGTAATGAGGCAGTTTCCAGGAGAGAACTTAATCATAACCCCAAAAGTTTAGTTATAAAAGGTCGCTGAGGTTAACTCAGTTGAAAATGATGCCTAGTGACAATATATTTGATACATTTGAAAGAATTTTGATTTTACAGAAATAACTGTTCAAAGTACAGATGAGAGGAAATAGGAAAAAATGGAAAGAATGTACAATTGCTTCCCACGGCGTCTAGAGACGCAAAAGGGACCAAACTTGATTTTTTTTTCAGAATTTGTCTTACATACATTGCATTTTGAATTCTAGAACATATTCTTTTCAATAGTGAAAAGTTTTCAAATAGTCCATTTAAATATTATCAACTAAAACCACATCTCTTTGTATTGTGTTAGAGATGCTCTCTTCCTAACATTCTTATACGCAGCACTACGTAGTTTCAGGAAGGAACTGTCCATGTTGCTATTTGTACGTCATCTGTGTTATTTTTTATTGACTTACGAGATTCCATGGTGTGTAGTTTGTTATAGCTTACCTAGCCGCGCCTCTGTGCTGGTAGTTCCAATGCTTAACCAAGCAATCCTTCAAATATTAGAATATTTATATATGATCCCCTATGAATCTGTGTAAGACTTTTCAGAGAATAAATAGCCAGCAGGGGAATTTCTGGTGACAGCATATGGTTTTATTTGATGGAATTAAATAAGGTCAGCTTCACTTCCAAAATGCCTGCATCCGCTGGTCCCGTTATTGGAGTTTCTGTACTCCCATAACTGGGCCATCATTGGGCCTTTGGCTGCTTCCTAATTGGGTCAGCCTAATAGGTGAAATTAATACTTTACTCTTGCAAATAGCACCATCGGTCGACTTTATTCACAATATCCTTCATTGATCAAAAACCTTCAACTGATTAATCAAATTAATTTTTCTTCCGTGTGCTTTGAGATTTAGTTTCAGAAATTTTTTTATATCTAGATCACAAAAACATGCTTTTCCATTACCTTTTGATTTTTCCTATAAAGTTACTTAATCCAACAAGAGTGCACCTTTGGTCCTTTTTTCCCCTAAATAAATGGTCAACCAATTCTCATCATGTCCCATGAATCCGATATTATCATTATTTTGTGTGTACGTTTTCCTGTGTACATGAAGCTGCTGTTGAGTTCTGTTTCAGGGAGCCCACTCGTTGATATCTTAGTAGAATAAGTTTATCTTAATACTCCACAGGGAAGGTTCCTCTTCTTTACTTCTCATTTTCAAGATTAAGTTAAGTATGTGGTAGACATCTATTTCCTCATAAACATTTTAGAATATCAAATTAGTTAGGGCACTGCAGAGAAACAGAACCAACAGGAGATGTGGGCTATATAAGGAGATGGACCGTAGGAACTGACATACTCAGTTGTGAAGGCTGAAAAGTTCCTTTTCATGCTGTCTGCAGCTGGAGACCCAGGGAAGCTGCTGCTGTAATTTAGTCTGAGTCCAGAGGCCTGAGAGCCAGGAGAGCCAGTAAGTTTCTGAAGGCAGGGGAGGATAGACGTCTTAGTTTAAGAAGAAAGCAAATTGTGAGGATTATTTCTGTCATTTTATTTTTTATTTAGTATGCATTCCTCTCTTTTATTGTAAACTATCTTTTCCCAGTTTTCACTGTAAAGCTCAAATATTCTTCTATAACTCTAAAAGCTGTGTATTCTTTAATACAGTGTAATGTACAGTGATCACCATTAATTTAAAACGTACACTCATGTATATTTTCTCCTACTGATTTTATCTCTAGGTGCTCTTCCACCTGCCCTCTCACACATCCTTTGGTCTTTGCATTATTTCCCCAAATCTCATTAACACAATGTAGGTTTTTAGTTGTGTTGAAATCATCACTTCTCCCCTCTTTTTTGGAGGGGGAGTCTTTAAAAAAAATAAAAACAAACCCACAACATTTTATCCAGGAATTTATTACTCTCACTTCCCCAAACTTTTCCATATCTCCTGGATTTGTTTGTTTGTTTCTTTTTTTTTTTATTCCATTCCAATGGATTTGTTTCCATTTAGACTTGAAGGTTTTAATCTTTCTTTCTGGGGAATTTGTTTTCCTTATTTCTTGAAATATCTTTGTTTGCTCACTTTTTTTTTCTTTCTTCTGTTGTTCAGATTTTGATCCTTGATACTATTTGGATTTTCTTGTATGTTTTACTATATATTTGCTGTCTCTCTCTGTCCATCTGCTTTCTGGAAGCATTTCTGTTTTCTGAGGCAGAGATTCCAAAACATGAAATCCTTCTGTATCCTTCTGATCCTACTGTATCATTCTAACTGTCTAACTCATTTGTGGGTTTCTGTATTTCAGTTATTTATTTAATGCTATATGTATAATATGTATAATTGGAATGCTGTTCCCTCTTATAAACTATATACATTTTTATTTACATCTATTAATTTCTTACTCTACTTACTGTTTTTTGAATGACTTCTTTATCATATTTCATTCTACTACAATCTTCCATTATTTCCTTGGGTATATTAATCACACTTATTATAAATTCCTGTGTATCAGGAATTTATAGCCATATGATATATATAGAATTGAGTTTGTTGTCATTCTTTGAAGTAGCTGTACCTTTCATGTATCCATTGACATTTTTCTTTGGAGCTTAAATCCTTCTGCAGATATTATCTATTCCAGCCTGAATAGCATTTGGAGAAAGCCAGTCCTTACAGGTGAATCCCAGGAGAGAGGAGAGACTGAGATGGGGGCCCTGTGACACCCCTTCTGGCCAATTCTCTATGCTACCAAGTAACTTCCCTGGTCTGAATTTCACCTCCTAAACTTTTAGAAAAGAAAAGGCTGAGAACATATTCATCTCTTGTACAGGGTATCCCAAAAATTGCCCATAAACTCACTATACATAAAGAAAACGGGAAATTGTAGCTGAATGTGCCTTTATTTACAAAAAATTCATTACAAAATTTTACCAAATATTCTCTATGTGTTGGCCAGCTCTTTGTAAAATTTTGTAATGAATATTTTATAAATAAAGGTACATTCAGCTACAATTTCCCATTTTCCCTATGTATGGCAACTTTATGGGTGACCTTGGGGATAGCCTGTAGTCCATCAGACCTAGACTTTGAAAGACCACAGGATGGAGGAGGGAAGGCCAGCTCTGACAGGTGACCCCACCTTCTCATCCACTCCTCACCAGAGCAGGAGATTATCCCCAAGACATTCAGCAACTAAATCCCAGACATGGGCTTAACACCCTTGACAAGGAAAAAAATAGGCAATGATTGTCCTGGGGGAACCCAGGGGATGTTTAAGAGGAGAACTAAAAGATTTCCCTTCCGCCTGTCCTCTCAAACACCCCCTCCCCAAACCCGTCTTCCCTGGCCATGGGCAGCCCTGGTTAGGCTGGTCAAAAAAGGCTTTCAGACTCCCTGTCGCACAGGTTTTTCTTATTTATTCTTCTGTTATCAAATCCATGCTTCAATCTCATTTCACCTGTGCTGCTTCCCCCTCTTAACAGGAAACTGAAGCTCTTAGGTATTCTGAGTAAGTTTTTTAAAGTGTTTTTCCTTTTGTGTTTATTTAAGTGCTACTTTCTCTTCCCAGATAGAAATGACATGCTTTTTATGATGGCTTTTATTTATGCATTTCCTGAAGATAAATCATGAAACAAGAAAGCTCTCTGCAATTTGGTTTTCTTTAGATTTTCAAGCTTTATTCCCTGTTTTGTTTCTTCTTCATGTTTTTTGTCATGTCTGCAGGGCAGACACGCTGCAGTTGTAGCGGGGAAAGCAGGCAGTGTTTGCCATTGGCATCCTCACCTTGGGATTTATCTTTTCAAGATCTCTCCTGATTATTCTGGACAAAACTGTTATCTGCCTTAGGGGGCGGTAGCCCCGCTTCCTGGGTTAGTGTGTAAGACAGTGATTATCTTTATTAGGTTAAAGTTACCCTTGAAGACTCGGATACATTTCAGAAAACAAGGGGATACTATTTACCCTTCAAGTGAACTACTTAATACTTCATTGAAAACAAATACATTATAATTCACCTGTTAAAACAGGTAACCATGCTCCAAACTACTACTTCCTCCTGGTATTTTTAGATGTGAAAAAATATACAGAAATTTCTCCTAATGTGGAGGACAAGACCCAAATCCACTTTAAATTCTAACTGTGTTATGCCAACTTATTATTAAACACTGTTCTTAAGTTCCAAATGACATAATTTGTGTGTGTGTTACGTGAGAACTGAGTCCTGAAATCGAAAGCTAACTTACCTAGTTAAATCTGCTGTGATTCGTGCACCTTGCAGAGAGGCAGACCCACTAACGTGGTTGGTCAGGGTGCATTTATAGAATATTCTGGCCACTAACGGAGGTGTGAAAGCAATGACAGGTATAATTAGAGCTCATTTATTCCCCAGTGTGTCTGCCACTGAGATACTTTATCAGTTAAAGCTCTGGACAGAGTGGAAAAGTACCAAGAAATGAGAATTTGAGAAATAATGGAAGATATAAGCTTTATAAGCTACATTTTTAAATAAAAGT